GGTTGAGACGAGTTTTTATTGTGTAGAGATGATGTAAAATTAATAGACTACCAAAGAAAATGAGAAAAAAATGTTACTAGAGATTTTATAGATTCGTCAAGTATGAGGCACAAGTCGGTGGTTCGTGCATTATTGATCCTCTTCCCTTGATTAATGCTGACCAATTATTTTTTTTATTTTAGGCATGGATAAAAAGAATGAAAGAGATGGAGATAGAAATAAGCAATGGGAGTGTGGAGTGCTTTCATTGAGTTAAATGCACCCATGATCTAGTTAGATGGTAAGGTGACAATTGATTGTGTTATGTTCCTTAATTGTTTGCATAGTTGTTGTTGACTATAATTTCAATCTTTTTTGCAGCATATAAATACATTATTATATCTAAAGAGATAACAAATAATGCTATCTGAAAATTTATACAACATGTATTGTAGAATTAAAGTAATTATTCAATTAATGTTACAAAATAAGTGCTCTTTGTGAAAAATAGGTGAAAAAGGAATGATTTTTGAAGTGGCCTTAAGTTGCATTGATGTACTTTATTAGATATGAAGATAAATTTATTATGCCTTGCGCTAAAATAGATGTTATTTAATAGGTAAAAAAGAAAACCCGTTAGATAATATGTGAGTTTCTTGAAGGCCAAAACATTATATGACTCTGACCTTTCTTACATTTCAGTGCATAGCTTACAAACAATAGTAAATTAGTTTTGTAAATGTTTTATTGGATTATAAACATTGTCAAAGTTTCTGATGATAATAGAATGTTTTCTCACCATAAGCTCCATGGAAATGGAAAAGAGCTAGAACATACGGCGTTCTTAGCTATAACATAAAGTAAGTCACTTGAAAATTTAATAAAAAATGTGGTGCTTATATGTAAAATTTGTTGTTGTACGTTTTATTCATGATGTAGATTATGAAGTGCATGTGGTACAACGTCACATCATCTATCTAGCATCCAAATAAGCTCTCTTGAAAATTACATCTAATTGTAAATCATTTTATGAAAATTGGTTATGCATAAATTTATTTTGTATAGATCAAAAGGTTCAAGATAGAAGTAAAAGAACAAGTTACATTATTAGATTTGGTCTATAACATATAATGTGTGCTCATTGTAAAAGGTTAGAAGATTGCTCAAACATTACTCAATTTTTTTTTAATCCCCTATGATCATTTTTGAAGCTGATATCAACAAGTTCAAAGCATGTTTAAAGAACATTCGAATGATGAATTCAACTAAGATTCAATTTTAACAGGTTTGAATCAATGATATTTGAGATGGACTTCAATAAGTAATTCACAAATATAAGATGAAGTAATTTCATCTAGACAAACTTGAATGCTTATTTTTTCAAGAAAATAAATGATTAAGACATTTGGGCAATTGTACACACACACACACACATATATTCTAACAGTTGACTTTACTAGCATATCATAATATTCAATGATGTTATTGACATTATTAAACAATACATTAGACTTTAAATGTGAAACTTAAAAATTGGTGGCAAAATTAAGTTGTTAAATGAGTTGGAATGAAAAAGACTAATCACAAAATAAGAAGAATCACTTAGCTGATATAATATATTTAATTAGAAAATAATTTAAGGGCAACATAAACTTGATATACATGGTAATACAAAAATTTTATTTAAAAATAGAAACATGACAACACCCAGATCCCATCTCTTCTTATTTCTAATGGATCCCATTAAATGATTGAGATAAAAAAACATTAAAAAATAAATTTTACATGTAAAAATTATTGTTATTGGAGGATCACATATTTAGGGAAGAATATTGTATGTTAATATTTATGAAATCCACATTTTTTGGATTGAAACCTGATGTAATCTTGAGATTTAAGCATTGCTTTAATGGAAAGCATATAGGCATAAACATATATAGCTATTTGTATATTTATCTTTTTACATTAATGTGATGTTTAAAGTAAAATCAAGTATTTTTTTTTTTTTT